TAACAACAGTGAATAACTTATAAATAAATATGACAAGTAAATTGTTCCGTAACCCAGCTGGTCCATAACCCTAAAATAAACATATATTACCAAGACAATGTTCGGCAGTGGCAGGGAATGCGTTTGGTTCATTATCAGAGACTGATGAGTGATGAGTGTCCAGTGTGGTGTCGGTGTGTGATGTCAGATGAGGCTTTGCAGTACAGTACTGTGTTGTAAGGCTATGGCAGGGAATGCGTTTGGTTCATTATCAGGGACTGATGAGTGATGAGTGTCCAGTGTGGTGTCGGTGTGTGATGTCAGATGAAGCTTTGCAGTACAGTACTGTGTTGTAAGGCTATGGCAGGGAATGCGTTTGGTTCATTATCAGAGACTGATGAGTGATGAGTGTCCAGTGTGGTGTCGGTGTGTGATGTCAGATGAAGCTTTGCAGTACAGTACTGTGTTGTAAGGCTATGGCAGGGAATGCGTTTGGTTCATTATCAGAGACTGATGAGTGATGAGTGTCCAGTGTGGTGTCGGTGTGTGATGTCAGATGAGGCTTTGCAGTACAGTACTGTGTTGTAAGGCTATGGCAGGGAATGCGTTTGGTTCATTATCAGGGACTGATGAGTGATGAGTGTCCAGTGTGGTGTCGGTGTGTGATGTCAGATGAAGCTTTGCAGTACAGTACTGTGTTGTAAGGCTATGGCAGGGAATGCGTTTGGTTCATTATCAGAGACTGATGAGTGATGAGTGTCCAGTGTGGTGTCGGTGTGTGATGTCAGATGAGGCTTTGCAGTACAGTACTGTGTTGTAAGGCTATGGCAGGGAATGCGTTTGGTTCATTATCAGAGACTGATGAGTGATGAGTGTCCAGTGTGGTGTCGGTGTGTGATGTCAGATGAGGCTTTGCAGTACAGTACTGTGTTGTAAGGCTATGGCAGGGAATGCGTTTGGTTCATTATCAGGGACTGATGAGTGATGAGTGTCCAGTGTGGTGTCGGTGTGTGATGTCAGATGAGGCTTTGCAGTACAGTACTGTGTTGTAAGGCTATGGCAGGGAATGCGTTTGGTTCATTATCAGAGACTGATGAGTGATGAGTGTCCAGTGTGGTGTCGGTGTGTGATGTCAGATGAAGCTTTGCAGTACAGTACTGTGTTGTAAGGCTATGGCAGGGAATGCGTTCGGTTCATTATCAGAGACTGATGAGTGATGAGTGTCCAGTGTGGTGTCGGTGTGTGATGTCAGATGAGGCTTTGCAGTACAGTACTGTGTTGTAAGGCTATGGCAGGGAATGCGTTTGGTTCATTATCAGAGACTGATGAGTGATGAGTGTCCAGTGTGGTGTCGGTGTGTGATGTCAGATGAAGCTTTGCAGTACAGTACTGTGTTGTAAGGCTATGGCAGGGAATGCGTTCGGTTCATTATCAGAGACTGATGAGTGATGAGTGTCCAGTGTGGTGTCGGTGTGTGATGTCAGATGAGGCTTTGCAGTACAGTACTGTGTTGTAAGGCTATGGCAGGGAATGCGTTTGGTTCATTATCAGAGACGGATGAGTGATGAGTGTCCAGTGTGGTGTCGGTGTGTGATGTCAGATGAAGCTTTGCAGTACAGTACTGTGTTGTAAGGCTATGGCAGGGAATGCGTTCGGTTCATTATCAGAGACTGATGAGTGATGAGTGTCCTGTGTAGTGTCGGTGTGTGATGTCAGATGAAGCTTTGCAGTACAGTACTGTGTTGTAAGGCTATGGCAGGGAATGCGTTCGGTTCATTATCAGGGACTGATGAGTGATGAGTGTCCAGTGTGGTGTCGGTGTGTGATGTCAGATGAAGCTTTGCAGTACAGTACTGTGTTGTAAGGCTATGGCAGGGAATGCGTTCGGTTCATTATCAGGGACTGATGAGTGATGAGTGTCCAGTGTGGTGTCGGTGTGTGATGTCAGATGAAGCTTTGCAGTACAGTACTGTGTTGTAAGGCTATGGCAGGGAATGCGTTCGGTTCATTATCAGAGACTGATGAGTGATGAGTGTCCAGTGTGGTGTCGGTGTGTGATGTCAGATGAGGCTTTGCAGTACAGTACTGTGTTGTAAGGCTATGACAGGGAATGCGTTCGGTTCATTATCAGAGACTGATGAGTGATGAGTGTCCAGTGTGGTGTCGGTGTGTGATGTCAGATGAGGCTTTGCAGTACAGTACTGTGTTGTAAGGCTATGGCGGTGACAGCGACGGGCGGCGAGCTTTGTGACGCTTGTTTGCTGTTTGATTGTTTGATGTTTGTCCTCAACAAACATTGTCCACACCTCCCCAATCCCAATCACCTGGTTGACACACTCTCGGCACTCCACCACCACAACACACTCGCAATACACAATACAATAAACACGACGTCCACGAAATGTCCTTGTTTAAACGTGCGAATGCCGACTATATTATGATCGCTGATGTCGACTCTCTTCATACAAATCAAACATTTTTGTTGTTGCACGATGAGTATAATAATATGTCAAACTAAGTAGGATTGAATCTGGACCTTCGGAAACTTTGTTTTGCAGATTGTTTAGTTCATGTCTGTTCTGTGGAATGTATCGTTCGTACATTTAAATTTGTTATGTTCATGCAAAGGGGTTCTAAATATGGGCTACAATTACTGTAACTACAGAGACAATCGAACGAACTTACTTGAAAAATGTTAAAAAAAAAACATACAGTACATCGTATTACGAAATAGATTTTGATTGAAGATAGCAAAAAACCTAATTTGATCCATCATCATTTGCACATTACTAACTAACTGGGATGATATAATGGCCGATCTTTAACGCTATAACTTGTAGACACAATAATAACTTCATCCATGACAGTTGCATTTACAGTTAGCATAAACTATGTAATGAATAATTCGCCCCAACTGGTTGTCTAGTGATGGTTTAAGCCAAACAATATACAGTGTATCAGGTACTGTTGTACCAGATTGTCCTGTCAGTTTGTCGCAGTCGTAAACTATTTATTTAACTTTTGACCTAAATCGATATTGGAACATTTTAGTTTTTTACTATTCATTAGTGAAATCATGCTCTGAGAATCTATTGCTACAGACTAGGAACTGTGGCAAGTACAGTGTAGTATCAATGAATACAAACCACTATTGTATTTATTGGTAGTATGTAGAGGGTCAATTCTAATAATTCTTGTTCTGTAACAGCTAATTAATTGTTCGTTCTGGTTCACCTAACTGCTTTGCTTGACCTTTCCACACAGAGACTGAAGGTCGATGTCGACGATCGGAAACAGTATGATAACAGGTTGGATAACACGGTTTATCTACAGCGCTGTGATCTGTTAATAACCCATAGAGTGGGAGGGTTCAATGAGACTACAACGAGAGTTTCGGCTGTTGCCAAGACTACAATATGGAAGTAGAAAACATGTAATAGCATAGTCTACAGATATTGGCCTACATTTGAAACTATAATAGATTAGTCGCTTCTGAAGACCATTAATAGCATGTTTGTAGTAATGAATGCGACTTTAGACATTGACACTTACGAGATTAAAGTGTCAATTAGCTAAAGGGAATTGAACCAGATACGAGGGGGGGGGAGGTTTAAATACGGTGTGTCCGAGTACTCATAAGTGAACCACACTGGTACCTCATATTTACATGTTCAGAGTAATGTTCATCACTGCGTGCAATTTATATGATTAGACTATGTTATTGGTCAAGAACGAAAGTGATTCGAGTAAATTTAGTTCCATACTATCAATATTATTTTGAAGCCTTAGGACATTTTTGACCAAAGTAATTTTGCAGTAGTTGATGCCTAATGCGAATGTATCACAGCAAAACAGTGTTGTCTTGCATCATACAGTAGCTGGTGTTGCCAATAGTCGCGGTCTGATGGGCACATGATTGAGAGGCGAGGTGAGTGTTATGATTGTGATTGGCGTGCTCTGTTGTTGGGTGAACACCGACAATGTCGTCGTCTCCACGGGTGGTGTATTGCGGTCTACCACCAGTTGGACACGCCAACGCAAAACGTCTATAATAACTAGATAATTTGTCTGTCATGCGGTATAATGATTGAATTCAACTGTCATGCCACAAATCTACTTGTTAATACATCTTGCAATGTTTTCCGGTAGGTTATAGTTGTATGGCGTAAAAACATGTACTATCATTTTTGTTGTACACCATAACAACCTCTCCGTTCCATTTCAGCGGAATGTTAATTAAAACCACGGCGACCTTGGGTATAATTAATTAGTCTTATGAATAAATATGGCGCAATTGAAATTCCACTACGACGAATGTGGAGCTATTTTATGTATTTAATTTAGCCCATGAAATGTAATAATATTGTTCCAATGTAAGTCGTAAAACGTTCTTAAGTTTGTAACTTAAGCTTACCATAGAAATGCTCTGTTTTATCTGTGCTATGTGAAAAAGTACTTGTTTCCGTACTTATTATTTACTAGCCGCCACTATGAAGCTTACAGTCCCTGTGTCCGCACCTTTGTACTGTGTACACACTGTACAGGATGTCGCTCATGCAAGGCACGGCTGTCCAGTGTCCATGTCTTCCTCTGATCATCAGTTTTCATGTGTTCGGGAAGCTGTTTGCACTTCCTCCACACAATACTTTGCGTCTACATGGCTTCTTAAATGTACAATACTTCGTGTAAATAGATAGAATCATACGTTGCTAAGTAGGGGTTCTTATAATCTATGTATAAACTGGCATACTGGATAAACGCGTTAAAGACAGGTCAGTTAGTTAATTGGGTGGGTCAACCACCCTCCTGGCCTCAGCAGGTAGAGTAAATAGGTCCTGGACACTTTAGATTGATTAAATCCTACAAAAAACTACCATTTGTGGCAGTAAGACGTTTGATCTTATTGGTGCACTACTAGAAAATTTGTTGACTTTTAGAGCTGTCACTGACGTCTCCAAGCTCTGTCCCCATCTACAGCCTTTTTACCAAGGAGACACTTCAGTAATTGTATTCTATTACAGACCCTCGCCAGTGGACGGAGAACCACGTGGCTCACTGGCTGGACTGGGCGATCCGCGAGTTCTCACTTGAAGGCGTCCATCTACAGCAGTTCTATATGAGAGGGAAGGACATCCTCGCCATGGGTAAGGACGCCTTCCTAGCGAAGGCTCCTGCGTTCACCGGCGACATCCTGTGGGAACATCTGGAAATTCTGCAAAAAGGTAAGGCTGCTTTGTGGTTCATTGTATGTGCTTGTTAAACAATGTTCAGTGATTATATTTATATTTCCAGAGTTTAGTCATGTTGTTCGATACAGTATTGAATTCACAAAGGAAACCTGGTTTTCTAAATAATATTTAATAGACACGTATAGAAAAAGACTGGATTTGTTCTTCAAATCGTCCGTTGATAGTGTGAAAAGTAGATAACATAGTTTGCTCTTGTTTCGCAGACAACAGACGCCATTGTGTTTGTTTTCTGAAACCTCTCCGGTGTATTCGAGGGCAGCCAGTAGTTTAGTAGTTGTAGATTTCACCGAGCGAACTGAATTCATTTGATTACCAGTTAATGGGTTCGGAGGCTTTTCGTTCTCGCTTGGTCGGTGAGCGGCGGCGACGTAAACTAGTGGAACTTTCTTCTACGAAACCGCAAAAACGCGTTTACAGCGAGAGACCAGAGACCAGACCCAATATGCACTTGTGTTTGCTCCGCTCTGCTCTCATTGTCTTGTGATAGCCCGAGTCAGTGAGCCGAACCGCTTTTTCGCCTCTTTCACCAGTCCGAGTAAACTATTTACTTTTCTCTTGAGAATTTTCCAATAACGACTAATAACTAAATGAAAGTGAAATCCAACCTGAATGAGAACGTAGGCTACATTAAACGGCCAAGTACTGTATAACAAAGCCGTCGAATACACAATACACTGAGATGAAATGGGACATTCCATTGTATAATTAAGACGATAAACTAACGTAAAATAAATTATATCTAGTCAGAACTATTGATTTATTATTAGAAATCACCGTATTTTGTCTTTGAAAACAGTATGTTCGGTTACTTTTGTGTCTTATTTTACTGCAAATCCATCCGTGCATCAATATTTACGTTATTCAAATGATTCGTGTTATTTAACTTGCAGATTAAAACAAAAACAATTGGTAATAAAATTGACAGTGTAAAAAAGTTAAATTAATCTATTCGTGTTATAGTTTCATGTTCAGTATTTCTACGACATAGTCAAATTTAAACATTGTTACATAAATGAAGTTTTGTGATTCATCATTACTTATATTGTAAATCTAAATTTGAGCTAACACGTCAATAGTAATTTTGCAGTAATAAGTAATAATATTAATATAAGACAAGTTGTGTCGACCTTGTCGCCTTGCTGTAGCTGTAGCAGGCGGCGCGGCGCGAGGGGCAATATAGCTACACGCGTGTGTTGCGGGTATAGGCAATCTGCGCCTGTAGCCGACAGAACGGCAGCATTCATGTTCTGGTATTGAACATACTTGCTGTAGCTGTAGCAGGCGGCGCGGCGCGAGGAGCAATATAGCTACACGCGTGTGTTGCGGGTATAGGCAATCTGCGCCTGTAGCCGACAGAACGGCAGCATTCATGTTCTGGTATTGAACATACTTGCTGTAGCTGTAGCAGGCGGCGCGGCGCGAGGGGCAATATAGCTACACGCGTGTGTTGCGGGTATAGGCTATCTGCGCCTGTAGCCGACAGAACGGCAGCATTCATGTTCTGGTATTGAACATACTTGCTGTAGCTGTAGCAGGCGGCGCGGCGCGAGGGGCAATATAGCTACACGCGTGTGTTGCGGGTATAGGCAATCTGCGCCTGTAGCCGACAGAACGGCAGCATTCATGTTCTGGTATTGAACATACTTGCTGTAGCTGTAGCAGGCGGCGCGGCGCGAGGGGCAATATAGCTACACGCGTGTGTTGCGGGTATAGGCTATCTGCGCCTGTAGCCGACAGAACGGCAGCATTCATGTTCTGGTATTGAACATACTTGCTGTAGCTGTAGCAGGCGGCGCGGCGCGAGGGGCAATATAGCTACACGCGTGTGTTGCGGGTATAGGCTATCTGCGCCTGTAGCCGACAGAACGGCAGCATTCATGTTCTGGTATTGAACATACTTGCTGTAGCTGTAGCAGGCGGCGCGGCGCGAGGGGCAATATAGCTACACGCGTGTGTTGCGGGTATAGGCTATCTGCGCCTGTAGCCGACAGAACGGCAGCATTCATGTTCTGGTATTGAACATACTTGCTGTAGCTGTAGCAGGCGGCGCGGCGCGAGGGGCAATATAGCTACACGCGTGTGTTGCGGGTATAGGCTATCTGCGCCTGTAGCCGACAGAACGGCAGCATTCATGTTCTGGTATTGAACATACTTGCTGTAGCTGTAGCAGGCGGCGCGGCGCGAGGGGCAATATAGCTACACGCGTGTGTTGCGGGTATAGGCTATCTGCGCCTGTAGCCGACAGAACGGCAGCATTCATGTTCTGGTATTGAACATACTTGCTGTAGCTGTAGCAGGCGGCGCGGCGCGAGGGGCAATATAGCTACACGCGTGTGTTGCGGGTATAGGCTATCTGCGCCTGTAGCCGACAGAACGGCAGCATTCATGTTCTGGTATTGAACATACTTGCTGTAGCTGTAGCAGGCGGCGCGGCGCGAGGGGCAATATAGCTACACGCGTGTGTCGCGGGTATAGGCTATCTGCGCCTGTAGCCGACAGAACGGCAGCATTCATGTTCTGGTATTGAACATACTTGCTGTAGCTGTAGCAGGCGGCGCGGCGCGAGGGGCAATATAGCTACACGCGTGTGTTGCGGGTATAGGCAATCTGCGCCTGTAGCCGACAGAACGGCAGCATTCATGTTCTGGTATTGAACATACTTGCTGTAGCTGTAGCAGGCGGCGCGGCGCGAGGGGCAATATAGCTACACGCGTGTGTTGCGGGTATAGGCTATCTGCGCCTGTAGCCGACAGAACGGCAGCATTCATGTTCTGGTATTGAACATACTTGCTGTAGCTGTAGCAGGCGGCGCGGCGCGAGGGGCAATATAGCTACACGCGTGTGTTGCGGGTATAGGCTATCTGCGCCTGTAGCCGACAGAACGGCAGCATTCATGTTCTGGTATTGAACATACTTGCTGTAGCTGTAGCAGGCGGCGCGGCGCGAGGGGCAATATAGCTACACGCGTGTGTTGCGGGTATAGGCTATCTGCGCCTGTAGCCGACAGAACGGCAGCATTCATGTTCTGGTATTGAACATACTTGCTGTAGCTGTAGCAGGCGGCGCGGCGCGAGGGGCAATATAGCTACACGCGTGTGTTGCGGGTATAGGCTATCTGCGCCTGTAGCCGACAGAACGGCAGCATTCATGTTCTGGTATTGAACATACTTGCTGTAGCTGTAGCAGGCGGCGCGGCGCGAGGGGCAATATAGCTACACGCGTGTGTTGCGGGTATAGGCTATCTGCGCCTGTAGCCGACAGAACGGCAGCATTCATGTTCTGGTATTGAACATACTTGCTGTAGCTGTAGCAGGCGGCGCGGCGCGAGGGGCAATATAGCTACACGCGTGTGTTGCGGGTATAGGCTATCTGCGCCTGTAGCCGACAGAACGGCAGCATTCATGTTCTGGTATTGAACATACTTGCTGTAGCTGTAGCAGGCGGCGCGGCGCGAGGGGCAATATAGCTACACGCGTGTGTCGCGGGTATAGGCTATCTGCGCCTGTAGCCGACAGAACGGCAGCATTCATGTTCTGGTATTGAACATACTTGCTGTAGCTGTAGCAGGCGGCGCGGCGCGAGGGGCAATATAGCTACACGCGTGTGTTGCGGGTATAGGCTGTCTGCGCCTGTAGCCGACAGAACGGCAGCATTCATGTTCTTGTTCATAGTTTTGATATCGTAATGAAGTGCGCATTTTGTCTATAATTCAGTATTTAACTAAAAAAAAAAACTAGTAAAAAAATAAAACTAGGAGGATAGGAACTAGTTTGATAGGCGTTTGTTGTTTTATAACATAAATAACCATACCAGGCAGATTTATCGTCATGATTTAATTAATAAATCTGTACTATTTTTTACCATAGGCCATTGTAACATGTATTTAATGCAATAATATACATGTAATGTAACAAAAGCGGGGTAAAAATTGGGTTTTCAAAATGTTGCATCTTAAAACATTAAACTTTGGCAATTTATTTACAAACCATTTTGTAGAGCCTAAAACTCTATTAATTAAGTATTGTACATCGAAGTGTTGTTGTAAGTTAACGCTTAATGGTTACGGAAAAAATTCCAAGGAACTGTAATTTCAAATTACACTAATATTCTTATGGAGAATTAGTAAATATAATTTTTGTGTTTGCTTGTTTATGGTTATATGGATGAAATTTAGCAAAGTTTTTTTCTCTTATACCAAGCTATTTAATGTTTTGCCAAAAATAATCTTTTTTAGGTTCCGTGTAGCAGCAAACACAAGTACTCATTAAACCTAATGTAATTTAAATAGGAAATCAATAGTTTTGGTTAATATTTAAATGAAAATCGAATGACGCAAATGGAAATTCTCTTAGTCTACAGATTTGCTTCGGTGGGGGTGTTGTGTTTTAGTTACTACCGTACACTCGTAGACGTGTATAGTGTTGATCAGCGCTACATATTCAGGTCGGTGATTGTCGTATATCAACGTTAACCCTACCAGCAGATAGTGATCACCTGTTGTAGAGTGTGATGTGATGTGTTGTGTTTTAGTTACTACCGTACACTCGTAGACGTGTATAGTGTTGATCAGCGCTACATATTCAGGTCGGTGATTGCCGTATATCAACGTTAACCCTACCAGCAGATAGTGATCACCTGTTGTAGAGTGTGATGTGATGTGTTGTGTTTTAGTTACTACCGTACACTCGTAGACGTATATAGTGTTGATCAGCGCTACATATTCAGGTCGGTGATTGCCGTATATCAACGTTAACCCTACCAGCAGATAGTGATCACCTGTTGTAGAGTGTGATGTGATGTGTTGTCAGTTTCCGGTGGCGGGACCGGTAGTTTCCGGTCAGACCGGAAGTGGCTTTGTTGCAGATCGATGTGATCTGTGATGCTGTGTAGTGTGTAGTGCTCCACTATTGTTCCTGGCTATTTACATTGGTAATGGCCAGGTCCAGTCACGCCAGCCCACCACCCAACTCCCA